TTACTATCCACTCAAGGTGATTGATTGGATGCTTGGTTTACGCGAACGTTGAACTGATAAATATTGTTAGATCGTGAACACGATTCAGCTGATGGGAAGCCGCAGCTCAGAAGCGAAGGCGAATATAATATAATTTCGGTCTGACCTCTGTGACTTGTCGGAGGCAAACGGATGGTGGTCGAGCTTCTATTCAACATGTTCATTCCTTATACATTACTTCAAAATTCTTTTGCTTCCTATACTAATATCATACAAGAGTTCTCATTTATTAAACATTAAACACTTTTCTTTAAACTTGTAGCTTCACTTTGCTTTCGAATACCATTGGTAGTGACTACAACAAACGAATATATCAATTGAAAATGCGTCTTTGGAGTTCCTAAAGGACATAACGGAAATCTCTATTCTGAACATCAGTAAGGTCAAGAAAAGCCTGAAAACACCAATTTTAGCGAGAATACAACTACATAAAGAAGAAGTACAAACCTTGTCGACTTTACGCTCGACTTTCGTTCCATCGGCCAGAATTTCTTCGATGTACAAGCCCTCGCTATCATTCGACTGTGTCTCGGCCTCTGCGTCTCGTCGTTTGTTCTCATTAGAAAGAATGGTACGTATCGCCTGACGAAGCAGTCACATCAATCAAGCCTCCAAACGTTGATGAAATAAACTGGACCGACATAGAGAATGAAGGGGCATATGAAGTTGCAGGCCGAAATGATACCCCATGGCACCCGGTTTCTTGGCGAAAAGCGTGCTTGCCACACTGGACTCGAGCATTAGTCGCATCGTATGTCGAATTATGAAATACATCTACTTTGCGGGCCAACGATATTGCCAATACAGTAGGCGCAGAGCATGATGGCGTTCATCGTGATGCGCTTCGTGTGCCCTGCAGTTACTGCGGTGACCCAGCTGAGACTAAGAACAAAGCCCGTAGTACCTGAAGTCCATATGGTAAATACGTGTACCCCAAACAAGAGACATCACGTACCAACGCCAATAGTCCAATAGCTGCATAGCAGGCCGACTTTATTATGGGCTGGCAGAGTGCTCACTAGGATGCTTCCCAATATGTTTGGCACAAAGTAGATGATTGCCACCCATGCGATGGAATTTTTATACCGCGCTGCCAGAGTCACACCAGTGAATATTGTGATAACTAATAATAGTGTCAGGGAAGGAGCAAGTTGCGTGATTTGGGATCTTACTCTCAATTGAGCCATCAACGCATCCTGGAGGAGCACCAATTACTATATGACCTGTTATGAGGAGAAAGCTGTAGTTACCCAGGAGTGTAGTTTGCAACACCGAGAAACCGAAGCCGTTAACGATGATTGACTTCTGGTTCGTAAGCTGGATCTCTTAAATGAGCAGCCAATCCATCTTAATAGTCCCAGTGTCATACCGAGTTGGGGATGTTGCTATTGTGACAAGGCTTGTATTAATACTTGCAAGAGAACATATCGCGAACACGACTTACTCGAGCAAAGAGCTAACGAGAGCCACTTATTGTTAGGGCAGTGTATTAGCATTTCCGATATACGTAATACATACAACATTGCGAACAACCAAGTCTTCGGTTCCTTCAAGCATTCAACGACCCTGATCGTATGAGACAATCAGTAATCGCTCCAACTGGGATAAGAACCACGACTCACTGTTCCCATTTAAATTGTTTATTACCGATACCCGTTTGGTTGACCTAAGTGCCGATAAATGTGAACGTGAAATATATGGCTGAAGAAATAAAATAACCTTGATACGTTCGACAGCAATCTTGCGTTCCTCGAGGGTGAGGAACCATGCGTTTGCTGGAGAGTCTGGGAATAATATCCTGTTTTTTTTTTAGCACGCCAACCACCTACAGACGAGATGGGACTTTACCAATAGAATACTGCCAGAATCAAGGTCAGGATGCCTGTGATAATCATGAACCTTTGGTTTCCCGGTCACTTAAAGCATAAAGAATGTTCGATGATGTGTCTCACCATTGCCACGGGTGAAGTGCACTCTTGTGGATATGCAAGACCCCAAAACTCAAGAATCCCGAAATCATCTGAGCTGTAAAACAGTATCAGAAAACTGATGGCACCTATCCAGCTAATTTACCAGATCCATTCATTAAAACTAAAGGGATACTTGAGATTGTTTTCACAAGAAACAGACATCGAGTTCACACCAATATCCTACACGTTGGCTCTGCTCGCGATGAGTATAGAACATTGACGTCACAATCATGAACCCGGCAGTGATACTTCCTTCGCACATCCCCATGATGAAGCGCACTATGACAGGTAGTCAGAGAGATATTCTCATATAAATTTATCCAAGTTTCACCTGCAAACAATTGTCCAAAGTCCTTACAGGCTGCGTGTGCGCATAATGCTATCCCCCAACAAAAGATGTTGATTGACATCCATTTTCCGACTGGAAAGCGCTGGAGACCCAAGTTCTGCCTGCGATGATTCAAAATTATTAGCAGAATTGGAGTCACGTAGACAATACCCACGGATATTCAAACACAAGATAGCTGACATAAAATACTGTTCCGAGCCAGTTACTACGTATGGGCTAAGTTATAGACTCCTGCGGAGAGCCGTTGGATGTACGAACTACCTGGAAACATGATGAAATGATTAGAAAAGCTGGATGGGATCATCTGAAAAACATACTCATTTGCTGTAAGATGGGTGTCTGTCCTGTGAGGCTGTGGCGTCAACGACATGACATATTAGGTTCAAGACCAGCTTTATACCTGATACCAACTAGGAACAAATTGACATCAAAAAAACACATGAATACTGCATTAGCACTCACGAATGGCTGAATTACCCAGAGTCGTCTTGTCCATGAATTGAACCCTGTTGTTATGATTTCGAGGCCGAGCTCATCATTGATAGAGCGATAGTCTTACCAGTAAAGTACTTTAAAGGAGAAAATTCAGTACATGGTAGGTCTTATGCCGTTCCGCTCAGTACGCACCACACATCATAGGTAGAATGTGCCGGTCAATTTTTCTACGAACTCGCAAGGCCTCTTCAGGATCGAGTTCTCGGCCAAGGCTGAAGTGCGCCGCTTGATCCACTTGCTTCACTTCAATGTGGATCCCATGATGAGCACGTTTCTCGTCCTTCTCAGATTGCATAGGTTCAATAGACATTGACGTTATGGGGTGAGCCACTGCGCTTGAAGGATCTGTGGATAAGAGTCGGATATTAGTCCGGACGCTGCATTATATATAGTACTTAGGCACGCTATCTTCACATCCACCTTGAGATAAGTTATAGGATTGTGAGGTAGAAGTCTTTCTGATGGGAACTGAAGATAGGCACCGGTGTCCATTCTGTCGGCATAACACGTCAATCTTAATGAGGATATTTTCCGCAAATTTTCCGTACCGTTTGGCAGGGATGCCGCAATTATCAAATTCATTCTAGGATACGTCACCAAAATACCTTCATATACACAATGCGACAAGAAGTCACCACACCAGCTCTGAAAGCCGCACTCAAACCTCCAAGTCTTTCAAACTAGAATAAAATACCACTTATAATTGTACCATATGAACGATATGATTTTTAGCTATTAAATTATGGGTGATATTTTGCCTTTGGGAGTACAAATGCAAGGTAAATGTGTGTGGGTGTGACTGGTAATCTGAGCTGGCACCCACATGCTATTAAAAATAGTATGTGTTGACTCTATTGCAATACACAATATACAAGGGTTTAATAAGCTTGTAATAAAAGTACTTGTGTCTCAATATCTTGTGTCAGTTAGTGTAACCTCCTGACAATATAGGTTGGATGCTCTGGGAGGTGTATAGTGGTTCTGACACATATTAACCTCCAAATGCATGGTCCACAATTAGCATCTTCATATGAAAAGTTGCAATAATTGGTGGACTCCCCCTATAAAAAGGTGTGTTTCATCATCAAATTTAACACATGCAACCACCAATTCCCGTTAGAGTATGATACTACAGCTCTAACATAGTCTATTATGATCTCTATATTGTTCTGATATTTGTAGTATTTTTCCCAGCACTGTAGGTGCAGTATTGAGTGAGTTACCTTAGGTCAGTACCTCCTGTATAGGTGCTTAGATAAGCACCTAGTTAGTCCACTGTGGGTGTGGGAAAGTCTCCTTTGTGTTTACTTTCCAATCACACTCACAGGGGTGTTCTGCAAAGTGTTATTCAACTGTTTCAACAATTCCTTGGTGAAAGAAAATTGCACCTACCCTAGAATGAGGCACAAATATCCAAAGAAATGGGTGACTCTCTCCCTACAGCCTTCCTTAGGGGAGTCTTTAGGAGAGTAAAAAGGAGAAATTTAGATACTCAAAGTTTCTCGCTAATTGCATCATTAAAGGAGAGATATATAATCAAAGGAGTTAGTTCCCCCTTATGGCACCATAGTATATGTATGCAATTATATGCGCATACACTTGTCATTGTGGATTCAATCCCAGTCTCAGTTGATGTGAAGACTTGTATTATCAACATTAACCTCAGAAACCATGGTCCACAATTAGCATCCTCTTATGAAAAAGTGAAGAAATGGGTGAACCATCCCTAGGAAAAGGGTGGTTTTATCACCAATTCCAACATTCTCATTGATTTCCAAGCATCTCAAAGTCTCCTGGAGCATATGACAAAGGATAACATCCATGACAGGGCAAGTCCAAGCATACTCCTTGATGTGAGAAGCAAACTCTAAATTTGGATAATTCAATCCAAGCTTCTGAGTCTCCTGAAGGTGTGTCCTGGGACATATACAGTCAACAAAGCTCTGGCTCGACTTTGACAAATTTAGGACATTTATTGGCAAAAAATTCCAAGGAATTGTATTGAAACTCATGATGTGAGCTACCAAATTTATACTGTGGAGATAAAAGAGCAATGGATAAGTTAGTATTAAGCCTCAGTTAAACTTCTGTGGGAACTATATATATTTACCTAAATGGTATAAACTGTTAAAAGTGTAGAAAATGAATGGCCAGACTGGGCATTGAACCCAGGGCTTCTGCATATATAGCAGGTGTTAACCATCACACCACCTGACCCTGGGAAACACTGCTAGCATTACTCAATCTAACATAAACTACATCTAGTAGTTAGTGTAAACTGCAATGCAAAATAATACTACCTATGCCTTAGTTGGAACCTCTGTGAGTGATTAACTATGGCTGCAAAATGAAATATGTATATGACACGGCGATCCATCCTCACCATCAGACTACACCCTGTCTCCCCTATGGCTCTATATTCAAAATATAATTTTAGGTGATAAAAGCACAAACACCAGGACTGGCTGATGGCTTTGCAACTCAGTTGGGTAAGTAGTCAGACATACTGGGGAGCAAAAATCTATGTAATAGTCACCGAGATAAAGCACCTCTCCAAATATTTTAGGACCCTTAGTAGAGTGTTATTTTATATAAACTCCGACAATCATCCATTGTGTTGTGATTCAGTCCCACACGTTCTCTCCCTTTGTTCCCGTTCACCCCATTGTTCCCTTTGTTTGTTCTCTGTGCTCATTGTTCCCTTAGTGCCCATTGTTACCTATGATCTATTGTTACCTATGCCCTAGTTTTTCCCTTTTGTGTCGCCTCCCACTATTGTTCACAATTGCACTTAAATACATGCGAATTGACATCAGATACCTCAGTTGAGTTACTCTCTATGAGTCGACTGAGGTATGTTGTTCTTTCACTAACTACTAGACAAGATACTGACTCTATAGTAGATACTATCTGTTCTAGGTACTTATTTAATCCCAGTTGAGTTACTCTCTACGAGTCGACTGAGATACTATCTGTTCTAGTTATTACACATTGAATCCATATTAAGAGTTAAAATTGGGAAGGGATCTTTTGAGGATCCAAAAGGTCATTGAATTCTAAACCCTGCAATCACATGTTAGATCCTTAACCAATTTTAACTCGGTTATGGATCTTTAAGGATTCCAAAGTTCGTTGGATTCCAAACCCGCCAATCACATGTTGGATCCTTAACTGACTTTAACTCGCCGATAAGTGATTGGCGGAGTGTATATAAAATAAGCCTCCACTGAGGATCCTAAAAAAAATTGGAGCTAAGGGCTTTTCCCGGTGCTAGTGTTGCAACTGCAGCTGGGATCACTGTAATAGTGGGCGAACGCACAATGCTCGGACCTAGTTAAGTACAGCGCCAATTGTTATTTATATCCAGCGATATGTCAGGAATAACATGTCACATCAGATAGTGTGTTGATAGTAAGACTGCGGATGATAGTGGAGGACTTAGTGATCCCAAGGTTAAAAAATATTAATCAATGAAAATATCAGTAGAATAGACCTTTATTGGCCTGAAAGATTTAGTTGGGTTAGCAGTCTCAATAACCAGATAGCGCTGCAGGGGACATAAATTACAGTGTTCAGAAGAAGTTATTACGTTTGTTACCTGGCGCACGCATGCTATAGGTTAGTGAAAGAAATCATCGACGACTAAATCTCACACTCCTATGGATGCCGACATACTAGGAACGCTTCTGGGGCTGCTTGGGCATAGCCTTACAGAGCCTTCCAGATTAAAATTTATTTTACTGGTGCTCACAAGCCTAAAAGAGTTCATGTCCGGAAGAAAATTCCGTGAAGAGACATTCGCCAATAGAAATACTACCATGGACAAGATGGCGGCCAAAGCAGTAGAAATGTTCAAGTCATCGCCGCATTCCGCACGATTATCGAGGGTGGTTCCGTCCTCAAAATTCTGGAAAATCCGGAGCTAATCTAGTAACCGACCATAAGTACCAATAATACCAATAAGTATACTCAGTTCCCTCGCCCAGCTATGCGCGGAGCAGCCACCGCTGAAAAAGTACCCACACTCGTTTGGGGCTTGGAAACTGACTTCCGCTTTGTCACCCCCGAAGTTCTTAATGTAACGAGATAGAATAAAGATGTGCTGTCGCAGACTGTGTTTCCATTCTTGAAGCTTTTATCACTTGACGACAAGGTTACTGTTAGTAGTAATACTTCCTGATTTATTACGATTAGCCGACCGAAATTCTACCGTCTTCCAATTTGCCAATCTAGTGCTGAACATGGAGAAATATCGCAGGCACTCCTACCATTGTAGTTTATTATTGTCGCAGACTAGATGTCACTATCAGATTGTACTCACGAGAGGCCGAGTGATAACATTGTCACAATCTAAGGGTGATACAGATGATCACCGCCTTCAAACTTGAGTTAAAGAAGTTTGCTTCATACGATGGAACTGGGGGGTTCGCTAAGCTCTAATAGATATAAACAGATTAAAAAAAATGCGGGGGTCAGTAAGTAATTATTCTGACATGATCTGAAGCAGCTTGGCATTGTCGCGCACGCACACTCAGGTCATAGAAGCCAGATCATAGTAAGCCAGAGGAATTCGAAGTGCAGAAGCATGTAATTATTACTAATCAATCTATATCACCGATGTTGCAACGAGTTTCACTCGCTGCTCGCTATACCAGACAAAGGCACAATAAATGAGATTGCTTATCAGGCAGCAATGACCCCGAACCGGTGTGCTTAAATTGGAACTCACAAGGCGTTTAATGACTTCTGCCTCACACGATTTGACCGGTTATGATTTTGGCAATGTTGCCATATGCCGATGACACTCAATGACTGAGCTTTTAAACTATATAGCAGACCTATTACATAAAACCTGTCGAGCCTCAAAGTACTGCCCCATTATAATTTCCTTGCGACACCTCTCCAAGACACGACCACGCCCTCGGACCACTGCAAGGTGATAGACTATCAGAATTGGGACTAGAGGGAGTAAAATAGTATTAACGTATGTAGGGACCAGGACAGTGTCCTCAAATGATAAATATATAAATGGTTAGAACAGACTTAGACTGCCCATAGCATCATGACCATTATGCCAAAATAGTGAGCTCTTCTAGTAATACTTAGGTTGTTGAAACAGTTGAATAACTCTTGACAAACACCCTGTGAGTGTGAGGAAAGTAAACACTAAATGTATTCAACTGTGAAGTAACTACATACCTGTGAATGTGAGGAAAGTAAACACTAAGGAGACTTTCCCACACCCACAGTGGAGTATGCTACAGGGTGCTTACCTAAGCAGCTACACATCAGTTATCTTATTAGGTAACTCACTCAATACTGCACCTACAGTGCTGGGAAAAATATTACAAATATCAGACAAATATAGGGAACATCATAGACTATGTGAGAGCTGTAATATCATACTCTAACATAGGTCTATTTGGTGACAACAATATTAATGATTGCACTTCAGCCCATTGAAGCAAAATGTAAAGATGAAGTCGACCTTGCTCATATCCGGGTTGAAAAATCTGCGAAGAGACACTACTTCCCCTCGAGTGGCTCTGGATCCAATAACCTAGGAGGTAATTGGCAGTTAAAGACCTTTTTTACACATTAGTTCTCACGGTCCCTTGGAGGCCAGCACTATGAGATACATATGTGGTCATTACTTAGGCTAAAGTGATTCCCCATATCTCATAAAATACAAGGAAGTGCCTTCCGAATCAACTTCAAGGTACAATCACGCTGTGCACATGTATACTTTGAAGTTCTGTTACAACTGGAAATCACGCTGGACTCCAGGCACTAACTTATACGCACCTGCACCCTATATGCACCCATTATCAGTTTACCAGAATTCCCACCAGACTCCATCTCTGTCTATATCCAACCTTGTCCCGTGCATCAGTCACCGGACCCCACTCATAAAACCCGTCACCCCTCTAACAGAGCCCCATTCCCATTTTAGTCAAATGACCTGTCACAATTTGGACTCTGCTCCTGCTCCATTTCCCTCCATTCCGTCCCATTCCTAACACCAAATTGGTGTTTACTATTCCTGTTTTATGTTTTGCTCGTTTCGATTCATCATTACTGGATTTGGTATGACATTCACTCCACGGTCTATTTAAACTGGCAGATGTTGTACATACAATCCAGTAGAAAATCGGCTTAGATTCCCCCAGTAATCTAATACATTTTATGCTCTAAACTCCTACTTGAATTACACCGCTCGCACTAGTCAGAGCCCACGGGCTCCAGCGCATCTATCTCTCTTACCTATCTCGACTCATGACCCACAACCTCTGACCTACGACCCCTCGACCCACAACCCCTGCCCAGACTCCCCGGGATTCCCGTCCGCCTGTCTGAAATTGGACAACATGACCTAGCGAGGGTGCAGCCTATAAGCTGAAGCCAAGTCCTACCAGATATACCACAGGTTTCTCTGGAGACCCACCTTGTACGTACCCTAACAAGTTCCTCATTTGAAGTAAGTAGCATGTTGATGCAATGCTACCTGTCATCCACAGTACAATCTCTAATAACCATTTGCAATAAATCGGATAAATATGTCTAATCATCTATGAGGGCCGGTGAAAAGTAAGACACCAGATATCAAAGCGGTACAATTACAATTACCTTTTCACTTCATGGCTCTATCAATGTCTGGATCTGCTTCATTTTTAAATACATCAAAGTGTCTAAATGTTGATTCTCAAGCATGTCATGTCAATTTATGACTAAGTCTAATATGAAAGCCAGTTTTTTAGCATCAGCCATTTTGGTCTCCATATATGCACGATGACAATGCTGAAGCAGTCGCACCACAGTACTCCATGGAGTATGGAAACATTCATCCAAGTATATTCATTTGAGTTTCGGAGATAACCAACGAGGTTCTTCCATGAATTTACCACGACCTTTGTATGCGTATAGGGAGGCAAGCGCCTGAAGTATGGGTGCAGGGTTTGTGCAATAGGTAAGGTGGAATTGTTTGAGCCTAGGAGAACGCTTGAGAGTCCATATAACATCTTCTGGAGCCATAGCGAACACAGTTACTGCCTCTAAAGGGGGTGCCTTTGACCGGTGGAATAGAGCCATCCAAGTGCTGCTGAATTTTTCGATGAAACAAGGGGAGTACTGGGGGAGTGGTTCAATATTTATGATGTTCAACTTGGACAATATGATACGATTTAAAATAGTGAATGTGTCGATTTGATGAGCAATGA